GGGTATTTATAGTTGAAGCTTAAGGACTAATTTTGTAAATATCCTAAAGTATACAGGGACTAAAATGCAATTTTCCCAAATAAAAATTAAATGCACTGAATTCGGTGCCCAATCCACCAAATTCGATGCCCACAATTCTTGATTTTAAACGACCCCATCTTTGACTTTACATGAAGGGCTGAATAATATATACTATTCATGTAAAGTCTATGTCCATTCGATGCATGATTGTGGTGAGGTAATGAGTGGCTCGGAAAAGAAGAAGTTGGTGGAAAATGAAAGGAAGAAGGATAATACCGGTCCTACTATAGAATCTCGAGGGAAAGCACTGTATGACCCATAGATAGTTGAGAAGAACAAGTGTTAGCTTTATCGATCAACCGAATAATGCCAAAAGGTAGGGTGAATTAGCCTCTAAAAACCGTAGAACTAATATTTTGATATAACAAATAAGGGCAAAATATTTTTGGACTAAACTGAATATATTCAAAGTTTTCTTTAAAATAATTCAAAGTTTAATCAAAACCTTAAAATGAATATTTTGAACAAAAGTTTCGAAACTTTCCATGAAAGTTTCCCAAAAAGTTTCGACACTTTTCAAGAGTTTCGAAACTATCTCAAGAGTTTCAAAACTTTCCCTAAAGCTTCGATACTTTGACTCCAACTGTTATATTTTTCCAACGGTTCTTTCAAAGAGTTTCGAAACTCTGAATTTTAAAACTTTCCTCAGAATTTCGAAACTTTATGTGCAAAAAGTCTTCCAACAGCTCCAAACCTTCCCAAACGGCTAGTAACTCATTCCAATATATAAAAACAAGTTCAATACACTTGAAGAATGTGACACAACATCTATCCAAGCATTGATCATCAAGAGTAAAGTTTTCATTCTTTATTCTTTATTTTCTCTTGTAAATAGTGTGTTTTAGTGAGCTAATTTGTGTAAACACCTATCTTTTAAGGGTTTTTCTTATTTACATCTTTCCACCTTTGTAAATGGGTTTTGGTTCTAGTTTAGCCAAGTGAAAACTAGGAAGTAGTAAAGGTTACTCTTGATCCTTAAAAAAGAAAGAACAAAATAGTGGATTTGTTGGAAAATCCTAAGTGAAGAGCATAGGTAGTGGATGTAAACTTTATTGAGGAAGTTAAACCACTATAAATCTTTGTGCAAATTTTCTTATCTTTATTCTCCTTACTCTCTAAATTTCAAAAAGTCAATTCACCCACTCTTCGCACTTTTTTTGTTAATCAATCGAGCTTCGTCGAACCTAACAATTGGTATCAGAGATTGACTCATTAGAGGGTCTAACCATGGTTATCAAAATCGGATCGGCCGGTTCAACCGATTGAACCGTGAACCGATGGCCTGTCCGGTCTGGTTAACTCACAAAACTAGACTGGCAATGAACCGGCTGAAAACCGGTAGAACGACTGAAAACTGGTAAAACCGGAGTGAACCGACTAAAAATCGGTTTGAACCGCCGGTTCACTTTTTTTCTTTTAAAAAAAATTAAACCAAACGACGTCGTTTGTTCAATGAGTCGAGTCAAATTCGAGTATTGTTGAGCTCGACTTGAACTCGAAAACTTTAAAAGTAAGCTCAACTTGACTCAAAAACTCACGAGCTAAAAATTATCAAGTTCAACTCGAACTCGAAATATAATATTAAAACTTGAACTCAAAAAGGCTCGAACTCAAAAAAAATTAGAAGTTCGATTGAAGCCTAAAATTTGAGCTCAATTGAAGCGAAAGAATAGTTCGCTAGTGCTCACCAAAAGGCTCTATGATTTTGAATGTCAAATTACCTCTATTATTTATAGAAGTAAGTTGGGATGCTCTTCTATGTTTCTTAGCCATGTGGGATTGTTTTGTTCTCATATTTTCTCTTTAAACTTTTGGGATGCTCTTCTATGTTTCTTACGCATGTGGGATTGTTTTTAAAAAAATTAAACCAAATGACATCATTTGTTATGATTTTTTAAGCCCCAATTTTATTTTTTTGATTATAGTTATATAATTATATTTATTATTTAATATGTTTTACCTTAAATATTATGTTGTAGTTGATTTGAATCATTTTGTTTCACTTGATTTTATGATTTTTAATTTATATATGTTATGACTTGTGATATTTTTATACCTTTTAATATTGTAAAGTTAAAAAAATGTTACATATATATTAATATTGCTTTGAATATTATGTAAAATTAAAAAAAATATTATTTTATATAAAATTCGGTTCAACCGCGGTTGAACCAGTGAACCAGTACCTTCACCGGTTCAATGTCCGGTCCGGTTTTAAAAACATTAGGTCTAACAACCTTGAGACGATCCTTGAAGAAGCTCTAGCAATTTCCTAAAGCAACTTAGAAGATGACTTTTTCCTTTGGCGCTTACTACATCGAAGATTATCAACCGGTTAACAAGCCATCTTATTTCAATGCAAAAAATTATGCTTGTTGGAAGAATATGATGATGCTCTTCATTCAAGCTACCAATCTAGATGCTTGGAGCTCTATCTTGACGGGTCACTCTACTCTATCTAGAGCTATGGCAGAATGGAGTGAAAGAGAGAAGAAAAAGTTCTCGCTCAATGCTAAAGCTATGCACATTTTATTTTGTGCATTAGGCCCAAATGAATATGGAATAGTCTCCTCTTGTTCAAATGTCAAGTAGATTTGGGACAAGCTCCAAGTCACTCATAAAGGAACCAATGTAGTGAGGGAAATGAAAATCAGTCTTCTCAATAATAGCTACAAGAATTTCAAGATGAAACCAGGTGAAGACATTAAAGCTATGACGAATAGACTTTCTGTGATTGTCGACGGTCTCAAGGGATATAGTGAGATCATCCATGACAAGAAGCTTATTAGGAAGATGATATATTCTCTTCCAAAATATTGGTAATCGAAGAAGACGACAATCATTGAAGCGAATAACTTAAAAACTATATGATGAGTTACAAGATGCCTATGATGAGTTGTATTTGAAATTTAATACCATGAATTCCAAATATAAGAAATTAATTTCAAAATTTAAAGTTGAAAATGATTTGATTTTGAAAAACAAAATGAAACCTTGAAAAAATGATTTAGAGCTTTCAAAAATCAAAATCAATGATTTAGAAAAAATAAAACTTTGTTTTGAAAGTTAAGCTTGAAAGCTTAACAAAATAAAAAAGAATTAATTTCTAAAAACAACTCATTATGTTTAAAAATGGCAAAAATGCTCACATTGTCATTTTCATTGTCATTTGGAACATACTTGTCCTTTAAAGAACGAAAAATGTTTTAAAATTAAACAAATATGGGTTCCAAAAGGAACAAGGGGCATTGAAACTAATGTTCAATGATCCAAAGCAATTTGGATACCAAAATCTAAAAAAATGTCTCTTGTAGGTATATAAGAGCAATGGTGACAAAGTGAAGAAATTGAGATGTTCTGGCCACACTTGAAAAGGGATGAGTAACCTCTAAGCTTAATGTTATTAATTTTTATATAATTGGTTATCTATTTGTTTTAAGCATACATGAGTTTTGATCTTAAATAATTATGTATTATTTCTCATCTCATATACGTTGAAAAGTGTATTATGATGAATATTTTAAAGTTTTAATGATTTTTCATAATTTTTATTTTATCATAATATTTTTTGTCAAAATTTGTTTTTTAATGTTTTGTTTTACAAATTTTCATTTTTGACCTTTAAAGTTTAAGGGATGGTCGTCGGTTCATGGTGAATTTGGCTTATACCATTTGTGTCGGTGAACATTCTGGAAGAGGTGATGTAACCTGGAATGCTATCAATAAGTTTCGAGGTATTCCAAAGGTGAAAATGTTTTTATGGTTAGTATGTTGTGATCATGTGATTACAAACGCTGAGCGATTGCGGCGCCATTTTACGGCCGATGGTAGCTGCCCTCTTTGTTTCGCGTCATGAAAGATATCGACCCTTTTCCCATCAGCTCTATCAATTTGGATGCTTTTGGTGAAGCGTGATCGGCTACAAGACTTTACGATGAATTTAAAAGTGTGGATAGTCATGAATCTTGGCAAGGCACAAGAGTTTGTGGGGCAAGTTGAGAGCTTGGATATGCTCTTTGGTTCCATCATATGGAATATTTGGTTGCAGCGTAATTCGATTGTATTTAATTCACCCCTAGAGGATGAGCGGTCAGTGTTAGAAAGGAACAAACACCTTTTGGAGATATCTTGCAAGGCCCAAGACATGGCTATATCGAGATGTGTTCTACTGGAACGAAGGACTGCTGGAGTTGTTCGATGGCAGTGTCCACAAGCTGGGTGTCTGAAGGTGGATTCGGACGGGGTTAGGGATAAGGTTTTGGATCTCGCTGCGTGTGTTGGTTTCGTTCAAAATAGACTTAGGGAATGGAGATTAGGTTTTACCAAATTTATTGGCATATGTTCTGTCATGGAAGCCGGGATTTGGGGGGTGTATTTGGGTTGTCATGTGCATGGGAGCCGGGTGGCCTCCATATTATATTGGAGATTGATAGCCTGGAAGCCATTAATGCAATTCACCTGGCGGAAAATGGTCGTGCCCGGGTAACGCTACTGGGGTATATTGCCGCGCTTCTCAAGCAAGACTGGACTGTTAAGATTCAACATGTGCATAGGACAGGATATAAGGTGGCCGACTGCATGGCAAAACTTGCGGATAAGAAGACTTATGATGGTGTCCTGTCCACAGAGCCTTCTGCCATGGTGTTGCTGGAGCTACAGGAGGAATATAACTGTAGGTTGGATGTTTAATTAGATAGAATTTCATTTGTTACCATAAAAAGTTTTTATATTTGATTTGAAATACAGTTAAAATTATATTTATGTTTTACAATAACATAAAACATAATATGCTTGAATGCAATTTAAAATTTATGACCAAACCAACCAAACTGAATTCTTTTACTCTCCAAGATACATAAAAGTCGATGAAATACTCAAATGGCCTGAACTATGAACGAATAAGCTCTACGGCTCTCGATTTCCAGTAAAACGTAATTACTCACACTATTCATTGACAGAAATTCCAGTAGAACTCATCGCATTTGAACTACTTTGCTGGTTTTTTAGTCGGAACAACTTATAAATGACAGAAACAAAGCCAGTAAAATGATCAGGATGACTAAAATGGCAGTCCTCGATGAGAATGGGGATACCATACATTTTGATGATTCCTCAGACATTAGAGAACTCATTCGTTTCTCAATCGATGTCTCACCGAGGCCATGTTCCGACGCATTGGCATCGCCGATTGTATCTCCTTTAGCCGGTCTCTGTTTGATTGTCCCTTTCGGTTCGCCCTGAAAGAAGGATACATTGCAGGGTGCATTTTGTTGCACGATCTCTGGTATTGGGGTTGAGAATGAAGTTTCATCAAGCCTTATTATGTCATCTTTCAGTATCTCAGAGAAGAAATCCTCTTCCTCGTCAGAATCCTGGAAATTTAAGCCAAAAACATATATTAATTCGAGTTTCAATGTATGATGATTACGAGTTAAAACCTGCAATCTTGTTGATTAGCAAACCATTTTGTATGTTGAAGATTCTGTCGGTCCAACATCGTTCGAAAGTTTCTGCTCGGAGTCGGACACCAAATCGATTTGCTCTATTGAATGAGAATCATTACTGCTAGAAGCCTTCTTTGAATAGAATTCGGCTGCCTTCTCCCCTTCACACAAGGCAGTCAGGTCGGTTCCACCATCCGAGGTAGCACAGTTGCTGTCGTGCATAATCGACATATTACGAGGACCACGAGTCGAGTTGTTATTCGGACGAAACTCGCCGTTCTTCTTTAGACGGCAAACAACTAGGGAATCCTAAATATTTCAAACATCAGCCAATTGACCCTGCAATGTTCTGTTATTATAAGACAAGTGGTCACCTGGGATTTTCCCGTCATACAATATTCATGCATGATCCACTCGGTCCTTTCGCCTCTCGGTGCGCGACCGGAGTGGAACACGAGGGTCCTCTTGGTGCCGATGACATTGGAGCCGGACTTGACATTTCGTTCTTTCCCGGTGGCTTTCCAATAACCCTGTTCGGTTCCCCTTCGATTTTGTGAACCATTCGGGTACTTCCTTCCTCGAGCGCAGAAGAAGAACCACTCGTTATCGGACTTTATGATCGACTTGGCTGGTACAGAGGAAAACAGGAATCAGTGATCCACATACAAATAAAGGTTCCGTTGTTAAAAGGAGTAATTAACACCTGGCAAGTCCCAAGGCTCGTATCTACAAATTTCAATCAGGGGAACGACCTCGACACACTTATCATGGCCATGGAGCTTCTTTTTCAAGTAATAAGAGATCAATTCAACATCAGTTGGTGAAAATCTAAAGCCTGGAAACATTGAAGATGCTTGTATGGACATTTGGGTTTCTCTTGAAACTCCTCCTTCACCTGCCATCATCATCATCCACGCAAAGAAACAACACAAACTTGTTCTTTTTTTGGGTGGGGGTATACGTTAAAAGCTGTGCTTTGCTTTGGCTTTTGGATTTGGGTTTTTGAAGTTCGAAACTTGTGATGTTTTTATGTTTTGCGTATGGGAGGGTAAGTGACGTGATGTCGGATTGTTTTTGAAACTTGGGACAACTGAAAGGACGCATTTTCACAATTGGTACGGACCTAACCTTGGCGTTTCATTTGACGCTAGCCATAAAGCCATACGCCAATTCATGAAGGCACTCCACCCCGTTACACCTTCATGTATGTAGACCTGGCTCCCTTTTTTCTAAGCTACTCCATTTCGGCAATTCAAGGTACCGCATGGTGTTTAAAATAATTTTTAATGTTTCACATAGTAATCATGTGACTTTTTTAAAAATATTTTAATTTCTATCAAAATCACACACTTTTAAAAGATTTACTTTTAATCAAGATCATTATTTTTAATTAAAAATAAACAACAGTCTACAATTATCATTGATATAATATTATATTTCTATGTTAATAAAAAATATTATTTTTTTACAAAAATAAAAGTCACTGATTTTATAAAAGAAATTAAAATTACAATGAGAGGTTACGACTATAAGGGTAAACTTAACACGTAATTAGGATATTTCTTATAATCATTGACATGAAATTAATCACTTAAGATCAAATAAATACCATATAAAGAAAAAGTTAAGAAAATATATGCAAAAAAACTCGAACAAAGTAAAGATGTTAATATATCTGATGATATCGGCAAACGAACCACAATAGAGGATCAAATTACTGAAAGATCAACAACAATCGCGAATCAAAATCGAGCGTCGTGAAAAAATTATCTCCGAACACAAATTACATATCCAAATTCATCTGAGTGTTCAAAGCACGGCAGATCAACAGAAGTGAATAAAGCGTAAGACAAGTCCTCTCAATACCTGAAGTGAATAAATGTTTCGATGGATTGTTTATTTTATAGCTTCAGCTCTGTGCTCTCTGCAGAGTCGAAAGAACAAAAAACCCCCATCACATGTCTCGAGCAAATCAACAAATAATTTACTCATCTTGCATCCCACATTACTAAAGATCAATCCACAAACCAAAACAGTACCTTAGGATGTATTTGATTCATTAAATATAAGATTATCGGTGAGAATAAAAGATTATCATAGAGAATGTTATATTTTGTGTTTGATTAGTTTAACAAAAATGTAAGATTATCATGTTTGATTAAAAGAATAAAAGATTATTAAAATATATATTTAACCAAATTATCCTTATTATATATTTATTTTTTAATAAATTAAAAAATATTTATATATTTTTTTAAAAATTTTAAATTCATAAAATTTATATACTTTTTTTTACAAAATTAAAAATATAAAAATATTTAATAAAATGATAAAATTTTATTTTAACCCCTGAATTTCATATAAAATTTTAATTATAGACTTTTTTTTTGTAAATCTAAAATAATTTAAGGATAAATTTGTAATTTAACATTCGTCGAATTTTTATTATTTAATAATAGATTATGGATATTTTTGAAAGAAATTTTTTTAAAAATATTTTAGTCCAAAACGTCGATAATCCAACAATACCTAAGAAAATGAAGGTAATGACATTCCCGGTAATATACCGTAAAAAATCTACCATTAATAATATATAAGATTACCGAGAATGACATTCCCGACCAACCAAACGGGAGAATGTAGATTCCATTCCCATAGAAATCTCACATTCCCCCAACCAAACACACCCTTAAAGTTCAATTTTCTAAATCTATCAACTGAAAAGGTACGAAGAGAGTACAATATTATATAGGATTATCATGAAATGAATTTTTCCTGCTGCTCTTGAAGGATTTTCGCCGAAGACTTGGCATCTATGTATAGCTTGCTTACTTCCTCGAGATCCGCCTATACATAAAAACATTTACTCCTTGCATTACTGATAAAAGAACAATAACGATGTGCGGCTGCTTCTGAATAGTTAATTACCTTGCAAATGGTGCCTCGGCCATTCATTTTTGCCACAATGCTAGCAGGCGATAACAATTGAACTGCATGCCTGAACAAGTAAAAACTTGTATGATTCTGATAAATGAGGGCAACTGTCAACTGATATTAGAGAAAAACTAGATTTTAAGCCTTACCTTAAAGATGTGCTTTGTCCAATCTCTCCAAGGAATGCCAGACTTTCTTCATCCACAACAAGTTCTTCCACCTGTGCACGGATAGCTAAAATCTGCAGACCACAAGAAAGTGAAGACTTTAGTCGGGTTTTCATTTGATGCTTGCTACAAGTGATATAATTATGATGACAAAAAGTAACCTGTATCATTTCAGCAGGACCATAAATCTGAGTGCGGATAATAACCAATCTGTCCAATAAGTCGACAGGAATGCCGTGAGGACTATTCATATCAGTACCCCTTCAAAAATGTAAATACATCTTTCAGAAACTAGAATCAAACCGATTAGCAATGCAAGCAATGCAGAATATATATATCAGTTATACGACTGGAAAATATAACAATTGACATAAGATCCATCATCAAGTCAAAAAGGAAATTTCGTTGTAGAAGATATCCAACATCATGAATGGAAAATGAACATGAAAAACTATGCTAACCCAAAAATATAACAATCACCATGAAATTCATCTTTGGTTATTTAAGAAATACATCTTGTAGAAGATGACTCATATTTTGATTCTTTAATTCCATGCCTGGAACATGAACATCTATGCTAACCCCGTCACTGTTCCTCATTATGACAGCCTAAATTTTCTATGAACATCTCAAATTTTGTACCTCATTTATGTTTATCCTACAATTGCTCCTCAATTATGAGAGCCAAAATTTTGAATATATATGGGAAAATTTTACTCCAACAACAAAATCCTTCCAAGGGTATGTATTATTGTTGCATCGCTATTTCTAAACCAATGAATTGTTTCACTAGGATGTGAAGCACTGAAACCAAGTCATGATGATATGAGTAATAGCTCATCTAGTATTCAAGTTCAAATTGCATACTTCCTTTTTAGATTAAACAAGAAGAAAAGCTGATCTAACAAAAATTACAACATCTCAAAAACAATTTTCATTACCTTACATTACATATGCCTCTATTTGTAGCAAAAATTACTATTGGAGATAGTGAGCTCTCTAAAGCACGATTCAAGTATGAAAAACACTCCATGTCCAGCATATGAACCTGCAAACCATGACTTGTAAAACATAAGTATGTCTGCTATGAAAATGTGCTTGAGCATGTGTAGGTCATAATAAATATCTTAGGTCTAAATGTATGCACACACATACAGAAACAATAAATTGTATCCATGCATCTAAGGACATGTATCATAAGCTGGAAAGAGCTCCGGTTAAAGGACAAGACCTCATCAATGAATAAAACTCCTGGAACAAGCTCTGCAACACCTTCATCAATATAACGGTTAACAACCTGTCACAAATAACATTGTTATTTCAATTAAAAGACATGCCATCTTTCGAACAAAAAAGTTAGCATAGAGGCTGAAGTCAAAATCCAAATCACAAGTTCTATAAAATTAAATAAGCAACCATTTTGACTCGTAAAGTCACAAACAAGCAGGATAGCTATAGCTTCTAGGGCGCACATAATAAGAGGGGCATACTAGGATTAACCACCGACTTGCTGAAGAGAGTTAAACTCTTAAAGTAATATTTAAACCATTAGGATTTGAGAATTTACTCAAACAAAAAGGCATGAAGAGAACATAAACCAGTTATAGGAAACCATGACAGTGATGAAAATACATCACAATAAATTCAAGCATTACTATGAATGAGATACATATAGAGGGACATCTCAAAGACTCAAACTTATTCAATAAAAGCATATTGTTTTCCGTAGATTTTAAAATATAATGATCCTACCGTATGATTCAGCAGACCTATATAAACCACGTAAAAGCTTAATGAGAAAAATAAGATACAATTGGATTGTTAAGTGAATTTTACAGTACTACTACTAATGGCTATTGCCTGCAAAAACTACAGCATCTGTAAGAGTACTCCCACAGGTTTTCCAAAAAATGAAATCATCAGAGGGGTGAATGCCAAATGTGTTCAGAAAATAATACCTTATTTATTTCTTGTCGTAATTTTTCTGTGATTTCCGTCTTCCTGGGCTTCATCATCTGGCCCATTAGAGACAATATGTCTTGCCCCCCTTGTGGTCGTGCATTGGCAGCATCCAAATCATGTAGTGTTACATCCTGGTGGAGAAAATAGAACAGTATTTTTTTAATGAATTTCAACATGGGTAGAAAACATATAAATTTAGAACCAGAGAAAGGAAAATGGGACTAAGCCCAGCAAAGCCGTATTTGTAAAATATCAAGCAAATGTAGAAGGCAGCAAATTCATTGAATTTTTTCCCTTTTTTCTTCATCAAGTGGGTTTTAGCTCTTAAGCAAATAAATAATATTTTGGTAAGAAGATTCAGAAAAAGATCCTCACTATTCATATGTAACCAAAGGCATGATAATAATGGTCATTTAATATATACAAACAAAATTTATTACCAAAGAATGTCCATGCCCATCAGTGCAAAATATGAGCAGAAAGAAGTCATTAAGGCCAATTAGATTATACTACAGAATAAATGCTAAGGGAAACACGGAGAAAGCATAATCTCGGTGGGACAAACCTGCACTATCTCCTTCTTTTTGTGAACCTCCTTTGGGAAGTGGCACATATTCTTCTGCTTCAAGGTCAAATTCTGTGGCAAAAGCATCACTTCTGCCCACCCTTTTGACAGCTCCACTATTTGCTTCAATATATATAACATCTCCGACAGCTACCTGCCATTCAAATTTAAAACATCACTAGCTTTCAAATTGAAGCCAAAATTCTTAGGCAGGTAAAAGTTAGACGCCAAAAGTCTCCAGAGTAAAGAGACAAATATTTAGCACACTATAGTGCCTCCTACAGGTTACAAGAAGTCTGAAAATGAAAACTAGAACAATCTTTTCCAAATGATAATGCAAGAAACTGTAAGCTCGCAGCTACCTTTCTTTAATCAAGGCATCATAAATAGTAGGGTCCAAACTTCAGTTTTGTTCCTTGACAGTTTTCATTCCAATAATTACATGGCTAACGCTTTTACCATAACCACCTGTTACACTCTCTGTTTCTTCGGGAGAGAGTTCAGTAACCTGAAACAAGACCAACCAGGAATCAGGCTTTATCCCTAATCCAAAGAGAAAACAGTCGCATAAACTCAGGGACAAAGAACTGTCATTAGATAAAACTTGCCTCTCCTTCATAAACCTCTTTATTTTCTTTGATACGTAGACCAATAGACCGTCGGAAATTTTCCATCAAAACTTCAGTTTTCTTTACTTCTGATGAGTATACTTCAGATCCAACCATTGGACAGAATGGAACCTGCATAAAAGGAAGAGGAATACGTATAGACAAAGTCGGGCAATCCCTCCAAAAGAACTGGATAACTAATAATGCCAAGCTTAAAGGAAATTCATAAAATAAAGGGAATACGCAATGAGAACCTTGCTCCCAAGTTCTTGGGATATTCCTAAGGCCAAAGCTGTTTTCCCAGTACAGGGGACCAGCCAGCAAAAGTGCACGGCCAGCCTCTTTTCTGCTTATCATATCCACCACGAGACCGCTTCCCTTGCCTCTGCTTGGCCAACAAATCCGCAGCCAAAGGAATGGCGTTTCCACTGGCCTGGTAACAAAGGAAAAGGAAAGATTTAGGAAGGGCATTGCAATTTTTTCTAGTAAAACAACAAGTCAACGAAAGAGAAATATGTGAGAAACTGATAAGATGATTAGAAGTTTCTAGCTTTCTATTACAAGAACAGGCTTTTCCATGGAAACTTCATGGTGAAAATAATGAATAAAACCCACTTCTTCACTCAATATGCATTATAAAAGCATACAATTAATAGCAACCTACTTCAAGAACCTGATATCTTTCCATAGTCCATTAGTTCAGAATGAACTAAAATTCATCCAAAATATACTATTATCTCAATCTCAGGACATTAAATTTAATTTAAACTATACTTATCGACTATACACTCAAAGTACACCAAATCCAAATCCAAAAGCAAACAATAAAGTCCAATAGTTGAACAGAAATTTCAGTACTTCATCTTAAAACCCTAAAAACTCGGAAAAGGTTTAGGTGAAAGGAAACTTTCCATGGCTTAAAACAAAAAAGGAAATTTCAGAATGCCCACGATTAAAACGACGCTGCAGATATACAAGAAAATACAAAAACACTTCAGCTGAGAAAAAATACATAAAAAAAGAGATGGAGGGAGAGAATGAAGTGAATACATCGAGACCAAGGCCTTTGATGTGAGTGTGAGTAGCGACTCTCTGCTTTTTGGCCGTTGATTGAACCTCTTCTATCTTCATTCTGTCCTTCCCTTTCCTTTGCTCTTCTCAGTTTCAGCTTGTTCTCGCTCTTTTTGAGAGCAGCAAAGACTGCAAGTTTAATCTGGCTTTTTCGTGAAGACATAAGGGCGAGGCTTCTGTTAAAAGGGTTTAAGTATGCATCTTGCTGGAATAAATTACACCTATAGTCACCAATTATTTGTATGATTTTGTTTTGGTCATCCCACTATTTTTTAACTAAATCGTATATAACATTATGCTTTAGTTTCATTTCAATGATCCGTTGTTAAAAATTTAATGAACTGTTGATATAGAATTCGTTTTATTTTATCAATGATGATATAATATTATCTTATAGTAACACATCTATATCATAAGTTTTTAACGATGGGTGACCAAATAAATAAAAACGTAATGTTAAGAATGTTTTTGTAAAAATTTAGTTGAGTAGTCAAAACGAAACTACATAAATAATTAGATGACTAAATATGTAGTTTATTTTATTGTCAAAAAAAATTATTTTTTTAATAATTTGATTATATATTAGTTTTTTAATGTTTTTATTTAATCCATAAGATAGTAATATATGATATGACACCACCTAAATTGCAAGCCCCTTCAATATAAAGGTTAAAAAATATGAAGGTGATAAGTTATATGCATAGTTTTCAGAATCAGACCGGTTAGCGAACCGGTCATGTTATCGGTTCACTGGTTTAACCGGTTCGATCGGTCGGAAGAACCGGACGACGTCATAATTATTTAAAAAATTAAATAAAAATACCAAAAATATTTAATAAAAAATATTTTTTTTTATATCACAAGTCATATTCAAAGCAAGTCATAACTATATAAGTTAAAACCATAAAATCAAGTGAAACCAAATGATTCAATTAACTAAAACATAATATTTAAGGTAAAACATATTAATAATAAATATTATAACTATAATTAAAAATAAATTTGGGATCATAACAAAATGATATTGTTTGGTTTAATTTTTTTTAAAAACAATCTCACATGGCTAAAAAACATAGAGAAGCATCCCAAAAGTCTAAAGAGTAAAAATATGAGAGCAAAACAATCTCAATTGCTAAGAAACAAAAAGCATCACAACTACTTCTATAAATAATAGAGGTAATTTGGCATTCAAAATCATGGAGCCTTTTGGTGAGTATTGAGTGAACTATTCTTTCACTTCAATCAAGCTCGAATTTTAGGCTTCAATCGAGCTTCTAAATTTTTTTTAGTTCAAGCCTTTTTGAGTTCAAATTTCAATATTATATTTCGAGTTTGAGTTGAACTTGATAATTTTTAGCTTGTGAGTTTGAGTTGAGTTGAGCTTACTTTTAAAGTTTTCAAGTTCGAGTCGAGCTCAGCAATACTCGAGTTCGACTTGGCTCGTTTAACAAACGACGTTGTTTGGTTTAATTTTTTTAAAAAAAAAACAAAAATCCCGGTTTTTTCCAGTTTTCAGCCGGTCCGGTTCGAACGGTTCAGCGGTTCTGGCCGGTTCACTAATAGCGGTTCAACCGGTTTAGATTGAATCGGACTAAGTAACGGTTTCCGGTTGAACCGGCCGGTCCGGTCCGATTTTCAAAACAGAGGCTATATGAACTTCATTATAAATTTTTGGGTAAAGTATAGTAATGGTGACTGAACTTTTCTAAAGCTTTTATTTAGGTCCCCTAACTTTAAAACTTGCAATACAGTCCCCCAACATTTAGTTCGTTTGTAATATGGTCCCCCAATAGTTATGTCGGGGACCATATTGTAAACGGACTAAATGTTGAGGGATCATATTGCAAACAGACTAAATGTTGGGGGACCATATTGCAAACGAACTAAATGTTGGGGGATTATATTGAAAGTTTTAAAAGTTGAAGGACCTAAATGAAAGCTTTAAAAAGTTCAGTGACTATTACTATATTTTACCCATATATTATATTAGAGAGAAAAAGAATGATGGAGCATGCGGGTTAAAACATTAGATGTTACAAATGATAATAAGCCAAAATATTCAAACCTGATCCTCAAGAATACTTTTGGAAGTAGAAGATATGTTTCTCCCATCTATAACCGATCTTCAATCTCATTTAAAATTTTTAATTTTTCAGAAAAATCATTTTGTCTGTCCAAACGTTATTTCTTCTTCTGATTTCTGAAGTACATGCGATAAAGAAAATAAGAATCATAATAATGTAAAATTGTGAAAATTTTATAAACAAGATTAATTATACACTAACATAGTGACTTTTTTCTTCACTAGATCAATTATACCTTACATTTTGAGTTTAGATCATCACTATGAAACATTTTCCCCATTTGGAAAAAGAAAAACCCTATGTGGACTTGTGTCATAAAAGCAAGTTTGACAATATGATTACATATGAACAGGCATCATTCATTGTCCTTCACCAATATTCTACTGCAATTAGGCACAAGTTGAAGGTCAAGAAAATACAATATCAATTTGTATACGAAAGATGTAAAATTATGTAACATAATGAGAAATGCAAACCCTCCAGGCATGAAAAACCGAAAATATCCCATTCAAATAAATAAATAAATAAATACGAGTAACTATCAAGATTTTAGAATAATAAAACCCAAACATACCAATGTAAATATATTTAATACATATCTATAGTCCAACCTATGATTTCTACAATTTAGGAATTGGGTTTAGTAGTCAGAAAAAAAATCTATCGAGTATAGGAGCAAAGGCTTTAGGATGTGCCCTGGGCATTATCAACAGCTACAGTTTGCCAACGGTAATGACCCCAAATCCTGATCCGGAAACATGAGTCTCACTCTCAAAACCCCACGATGCTTGCTTCTAATTCAGTTCCCAGAAAATTTGCCATCATAAGAAGCAATCAAAGGAAAACTATTCCAACAAACCAACCAGACATAACAAAAGACAAACTACGAACAAAGTTCTCCCATACAGTGTATGTGCTAAATTACCTCTTTTTGTCAATGGACCTCAAAGGGCTATATCCTGCAATTTTAAATTCCATTGGTGCATATAAAAATCAACTGGATGGGAAAGAGAATAACAAAAAAAAATGGAAAAAGTGAAAGAAAATGAATCAGCATTAATTCAACTCCCGAGTAAATTTTCAGAAGTAACCAAGCCTATAGTAAGATTTATCACATTCATCTCAACTTCATACTTTGCAAGCCAACAAATAATAAACAAATGCAGAAATGAAATGAAAGACGGGAACAACGTAGCAATGTAGAAATCAAATTTTATGAGGATAAAATATTAACCCCGCAATGTCTGTTGGTCTCTCGCGTCTCTTCTTGGAGAATGTCTTCGCTCAGGAGATAGCCTTCTGTCAAGCTTATCCCTCAAGTCACCATTTCGATAGTTCCTTTTACCTGGAAATGGCAAAGAAATTAACACTGGGAACACAAACCACTCAAGATAATTAAACTGCATCAGGTGAAACACGCAAAGGGACAAACACAATCAATGTTAAGCTTACCATCACATGGAACAATATGAGAAACATTATATAGAACAATAAAACTGCATTCTTGCCAGTTTCAAAGGGAGGGCAAAAATAGTGTCCTCGGATTTGAATAGAAAAGGAAAACCTGTATGGTAGCCTATATCATTGAGATAACCGTTGAATAATAGGACTGGAAAAAAGATAGTCACCATAATCCCATCTGATTTTTTAGCAATAAGAAATATATGAATTCCGAATTGAATGCTACGATAGATTTCTCTCAAAATCCATATACAAGACAATATAGTATTTTGCCTGGTATGCAATATAAATAGATTTATTCTGAATGTGTCCCAATAAATCAGCATTCTTTCCCCATGCAAGTAGACAATGTCACTGAGGCAGAAGCTGTTAGATTTGTCTAGAAATTAAGTTGACAAGTTGGAAATTTCATCTTGGTTGGTGGCCAACCTTATTGGAAATTTCATCTTGGTTGGTGGCCAAACTTTGAACATGTGAATTTCATATTTGGTGGCTAACTTGTACACATTGGAAAATTTTTTGGTAGGTGGCCAAACTTTGAACATATTGTTCTTGAAACTCAACTATAAATAGGCCTAAGTATTTCCAATAGAAATCATCCCAAAAACAAGTTCTCTCTTCCTCTTGTATTCTTCTCCCACTTTGGGAATTCCAAAGAATTCCATTTGTTGTAATATTGGCGATATAGTGAAGTTATCATCCGGTGTGGTGCCCGAGGAATAGACGATATTCTCGTCGAACCTCGTAAATTTGGTGTGTTCTCTCCTTTATTGTTTTTTATTCGGTTCTTTTCAATTGTGTTTCAATATTCAATAGTTTGGCAGGTTTATCCGCTGTACAATCTTTGGTGGTTTTAATCTTGACATTTTAGGTCAATTTTAAAACTACGTTCGTGTGGAAAATAACCCATTTTCCCCAACAATTGGCATCAGAGCTTCGGTTGAGGTTATCCTGGTGGTTCCGTTGCTGAAAAGATAGTTCGTGATATTGAATATTGTTCGTTAGAATTAAATGCCAAAATACGGATCAATTGAGACATCAGCTCTTTATCTGGACCGGTGAGGAGGTGATGTCAAATGCAAATTTCTCGTGGAGTTGTTCGATGGATCGGTCATTTTGGCATGTGGCAAGGCGAGGTGTTATACGTTTTATTCCAACAAGGTCTAGACTCGCCATTGAGGAAGAAAAGCCCGATATATGGAGGAGAAAGAAGGGGAACAATCAATCGTTTGGCGTGCAGCACGATTCGATCTTGTCTTTCCAGGGAGCAGAAGTATGGCTACAAGAACGAGATTCTGCAAGTAAGATGTGGAAAGCTTTGGAGGAAAAATTCCTGAAGAAAAGCTCTCAGAATCGTCTCCACATGAAGAAAAGATTGTTCAGATTTGATTATCAACCAGGCACCAGTATGAATGAACACATCACTGCGTTCAATGAGCTAGTGGAAGACTTATTGGGCATGGATGAAACCTTCAAAGATGAAGATTTGGCTTTGATGTTGTTGTCATCTTCCAGATGAATTTGAGCACCTTGAGACAACGTTACTTCATGGTAAGGATAATGTTACCTTAAAGATGTAACTGCTGCTTTGTATAGTTATGACTCAGAAGAAAACCAAGAAGGAGAGCAAGTACGAAGCAGTAGAGCCATGGTGGCAAGAGGTCGCTCGAAAAGTCAAAGCCAAAGTGAGGGAGATCAAAGTCAAGTCCAGACTGGGAAAAGATGAATGTGCCTTTTGTCATGAAAGGCCATTGGAAGAAAGATTGTCCGAAGCTGAAGAAGAAGGAAAAGCTACTCCAGATGCATGTGTTGTAGAGCATGATGTACATGACTCTGACATATCATTGGTTGCTTCATCAACAACATTCCATTCCGATGAGTGGATATTAGATTCGGGTTGCACCTATCATATGTCCCCTAATCGGAGTGGTTCTCGATTTAGTGGAACTAATGCAGGAGTTGTTTATATGGGCAATGAAATTGCCTGTAAAACTGTGGGATAGGTTAATTCGATTGAAGAATCAAGATGGATCAACCAGAGTTCTGACGGATCCGATACGTGCCAGTTTGAAGAAAAATCCTATCTCGTTGGGAGCCTTAGAATCCAAAGGCTCAGTAGTCACTATGAGAGATGGAGTTTTAAAAGTCATATATAGCGCACTGTGATGATGAAAGGAATCAGGAAAAAATTTGTATTAACCAAGGTAGTACAATTATTGGAGCAGTTGCAGCAGCTTCCGGAGGTGATGATTTGGACGCAACCCAGTTGTGGCATATGCGGTTGGGACATGCTGGAGAGAAATCCTTGCAAATTCTGGCAAAGAAAGAATTGTTGAAAGGTGCAAGGCTTGCAAATTGAACTTTTGCGAGCATTGTTCTGGGAAAGCAAAAGAGTTTGGCACTATACATAATACAAAAGTATTTTAGATTATATTCACTCAGATGTATGGGGTCCTTCAAAGACATCGTCTTGGGAGGAAACCATTATTTGTAACTTTTGTATATGACTTTTCCTGAAGTTTGGGGTATCCGATGAAGTCTAAAGATGAAGTGCTTTAAATTTTCCTGAAATGGAAAAATATGATCGAGAACCAGACTGGTAGAAAGATCAAACGTCTTAGGACGGACAATGGAGGGGAAATAAAAGTGACCCATTCTTTGACGTTTGCCATGAGTATGGTATGTTTGACACTTCACTGTTAGACATACACCACACAGAATGGGGTGGCAGAGCGTATGAATCGAACACTATTGGAGAAAGTTCGATATGTTGTCTAATGCTGGGTAGCAAGGCATTTTGGGTTGAGCTGTGACATATTTGGCCATCTATTAATCGTCCGTCATCAGCGATAGGAGGAAAAACACCATTGGAGGTATGGTCTGGAAAACCTGTTACTGATATGATTCCTTAAATGTATTTGGATCCACTGCTTATTATCATGTGAAGGAATCCAAGCTTGATCGAGAGCAAAGAAGGCTCTCTTTATGGGAATCACCCATGGAGTGAAGGGATTCCGCCTTTGGTGTTTAGACACCAAGAAGATAATTTGTAGCAGAGATGTTACCTTTGATGAATCTGCCCTAGTAAAGAAGGTAACAAGTGAAGCTGTCCAGACAAGTAGTACTCCGCAGCAGGTGGAGCATACTCCAAAACAGGTGGAGTTTCAGCAGATGATGATCCCAGAAGTTGATGCAACTGATTCTTCAACTCCAATAGAAGAATCAGAAGATGAAGAGGTTCAAAACCCAAGAACCATTGGAGACACCAGAAACACTTGCAGTTACAAGGCCAATGAGAAATTCGTAGACTGCCGATTTGTTGATATGGTGGCCTATGCTCTTCCAGTTGTTGATGATGATATCCTTATCACTACAAAAGCAATACAAAGCTTGGAAAGTGATAAGTGGAAAAGTGCCATGGATGAAGAAATGCAATCTCTCCAAAAGAACGACCTTGGAAACTGGCACAATTACCGAAAGGTAAAAGAGCCAAGGATGCAAGTGGGTATTTGTAAAGAAAGATGGATCTCATGAGAAGAAAGTGTTCACTACAAGGCACGGTTGGCAGCTAAAGGCTACGCTCAAAAGGAGGGAATCGACTACAATGAAGTATTTTCCCCTGTGTGAAGCATTCCTCCATTAGAATATGTTGGCCTTGGTAGCACAGTTGAATTTGGAGCTAGCTCAACTTGAAGTAAAGACGGCTTTCTTGAACGGTGATTTAGAAGAGGAGATCTATATGACACAGATGGATACAAAGATGGTGGTTGTGAGAAATGGGTTGTAAGCTGAACAAATCGCTATATGGATTGAAGCAATCTCCAAGGAGTGGTACAAGCGATTTGTTAGCTTTATGAGGAGGCAAAAGTATACTAGAAGCAAATATGATCATTGTGTGTATTTGCAAAAGCTCAAAGATGGATCTTTTATTATCTTCTCTTGTACGTTGACGATATGTTGATCGCTTCGAAGAGTCAAAAGGAGATAGACAAATTAAAGGCTCAGTTGAATCAAGAGTTTGATATGAAAGATCTAGGTGAGGCCAAGAAGATTCTTGGTATGGAGATAAGCAGAGATAGACAGAGAGGGAAGCTTTGTTTAACACAGAAGTAGTATCTGAGAAAGGTATTACAATGTTTTGGCATGAATGAAAATACCAAACTGTAAGTATCCCATGGCTTCTCATTTGAAACTTAGTTCTCAATTATCTCCTAAAACTAACGAAGAACGGTGTATATGGCAAAAGTTCCATATGCTAATGCAGTTGGGAGCTTGATGTATGCAATGGTGTGTACGCGTCCTGACATTTCACAAGCAGTTGGAGTTGTGAGCAGGTACATGTATGATCCTGGAGAAGGACATTGGCAAGCTGTGAAATGGATTCTACGGTATCTCCAACAAACCGTGGATGTTGGTTTAGTTTTTGAACAGGATGAAACACTTGGTCAGTGTATGGTTGGATATGTTGATTTCCGATTATGCTGGTGATTTGGATAAGCGTCGATCAACTACTGGGTATTTTTTTACTCTTGCTAAAGCCCCAGTAAGTTGGAAGTCTACATTGCATCTACGGTGGCCTTGTCTACTACAGAGGCAGAATACATGGCAGTTTCAGAGGCTGTAAAGGAAGCAAATTTGGCTTAACGGGTTGGAAGACTTGGGAGTTGTTCAAAGTCACATTAGTCTCTATTGTGACAGTCAGAGCGCTATTCTCTTAGCGAAAAATCAAGTCTACCATTCAAGGACTAAGCATATCGACGTGAGGTATCACTTTGTGCGGAGATCTTTCAAGAAGGAAAGATTTACTTCAGAAAATTGCGACATCAGAAAATCCTGCAGATTTGATAACCAGGTGGTAACAGTAATCAAGTTCAATCATGTTTGAACTTGATTAACATCCTGAAAGTATGAACACCTTCGGGTGTGTGGCGCTTGTGAGCGCAATTAGAGGCACTACAAATTTGGGGAGTTGAAGAAGTTGAGTAGGCTTGGTAATTTCAAGCCAATGTGGAGATTTGTTAGATTTGTCTAGAAATTAAGTTGACAAGTTGGAAATTTCATCTTGGTTGGTGGCCAACTTATTGGAAATTTCATCTTGGTTGGTGGCCAAACTTTGAACATGTGAATTTCATATTTGGTGGCTAACTTGTACACATTGGAAAATTCTTTGGTAGGTGGCCAAATTTTGAACATATTGTTCTTGAAACTCAACTATAAATAGGCCTAAGTATTTCCATTAGAAATCATCCCAAAAACAAGTT